AGACTATTTAGTTTTCAAAAGTAATCGATCTTGTGGTTACATGCCACATGTTGTATGAACTGGTGGACACAGAATGCCTGTAGTTAATAACTCATTTTATATGGTTTGCATGCCTCTGAGTGGTACTGTAATTTCTTGGGTCAGGTTTGAGCCCAAGTCAAGTTAGAGTGAATCAAGTTAAATTTCTCTTTTTCTTTCCACTTTTTTCTCTCTCTTTTAGTTTTAATTGCGGAGTAAAAATGATGTACCAGAGATACAAGAACAGCACAAGGTTTGATTCTTTTTTCTTTGCCAGTTGTGAGAATTAATTTGTTTCCAAAAGTTTTTTCCTTTCCAAACACTCCTTGGCATCCATTAATTTTTCTCACAGATTCCAACCCCTATTAATTGATTACAACTAAGGCATAGATTCCGTGTTAACTCAACACTGTTGAAGCTGATGTGGAGAATGAAAATATTAGGATTTTCGGCCATCAAGTACCATCTTGTTGCATCCCCAGGGAACCCATAGAAGAAAAAAAGGATTCCAACCCATTCTTTTTGTAGTCAAATTGGTGGAGGGCATTGTTTTTCTGTACACACTAACATGTATTTATTTCATCTGAATGATCATATCTAACATATTTTTCTTCTGTATGAAGAGCACTGCAAAATTAATAGATGGCGTAGTTCAATGAGGAATAGGGGTAGATTTATGCTTACATTATTTCAAAGTGCAAAACGAAAACACTAATCTTAAGTTAGCAGTTGCCTCGGCAATGGAAAACTGTTTTGTGCCAAACCTTACTGAAAATATATATTTTTTACAATAACAATATTATAGTCAAACGATATCATAAAAAAGGAAATGTGAATGAAAGAAAGAAAAGTTGACTTGAACTTCATTGGGGCTCGAACTTGACTTGTACTTGACTTGGCGCATCCAACATCGGAAATTTGACACTTCTTCAGAGAATCGGCCCAGATCTCCATATCGCTGCCGGCCACGTGTCTGTTGTTTCGGTGTTTTTCAGGACATACGTCTCCAGAACATTTGAAGTATTCCAGTTTGAGACAGACGACTTTGACCTTTGAGAGACTCATGGATACGTCACGGATTGTCAGCTGTTTAAGGCTACCGCAGTGCTCTCGGTCCAATTCGATGACGCTCCAATCGACAGAAAGCTCCATTTGTTTAATGTTCAAACACTCTGACAAGAAATCGAAAAACGAGTCTGCCTTGAAGGCGGGGCATTCGTACATCAGTAAGTCATGAATGCTCTTACAATAAGCTTTGATTTTAGACAGGACACAGTTTCCTTGAAGAATAAAAGAGAGGACATTTGTCGCATGGACTTCGACCGAGGTCAGATAATGACATTCCGAAATGAGAAGAACTTCTAAGCTAGGAAGTACGCACTTTAAACTCGTCACATTTATACTTGGTAAACCAGTTAGAAACAGCGTTGCGAGGCTATCCGATCTAAGAACTAATGAATCTGACGCGGTATTGTTCGTTACGTCTGTAACGGCCACAAAAAGCTGCTTCAAACACTTGAAATTTTCCACATAACTCACCAGGTCCGCGAAACTTACAGGAAGATAGTGTAAATCAAGGCTTGCAAGAGTGGAGGAGTGACGAGAGTTCATCAGAGCTTTGATCGTAGGAAGAGACGCAATGTCCTCAATGAGAAGTTCGTCCATGCCATAAGGAGCACATTCAAGATTCAGCTCTTTCAGGTTAAGTTTATCTAGTACTGGAACAATTCTGTGCCAACAAAGTTTGAATATGTTGATATTTAAAGTCAAGGATTCCAATGAAGTAAACTGCCGAGCAAGGACTCGCAAATCCCACACCCGTATTCCGCGCTTGTGGATACGAAGGCATTGGTGGCCAACCTGCAAACGTCTTCTCACATGAGCTCTGTAGTCATCTATGGTCAAGAACTTTAACACTGGCGCACTTTTCAAAGACTGTCCGAAAACTCTACTCCAAGAGAGCACCGGGACATCAAGCCTCGTCAAGTTCGGAAGCGCCGTAAGTAATCGTCTTACTTCAACGCGAGTGAAAAACATTTGATCTTCTGCTCTGATGCACTGCATTAAATGACCATATCTTTTAAAACACAGGCACAATATACTCGCATAATCATCCTTGAAGTCCTGTTGCGCGTCTCGATCGTCCTGTAAGTGGATGTGTCTCCACAGAAGTCCGGTATTTTGGAGGATATGCTGCCACCCTCGACATATCGTGCAATATCGTTGAAGGTCTTCGTATATTGGATGGAGATAAGATAGTATCTGTGCTATTACTCCACCTGGTAGAATACCCATATTGTTTCTTCAAAATAGCAGCGGCTGGACGACTTTTAAAACTCGACTTTCACAGTCAATTGTGACGGGAAAGTCGTTGAACAGTTCACGCACAGGTAAATGCGTCTCGCGCGCGTTTGCATTACGCGTTATCATTTTCAAAAACGTCTCTGCATGCGCTGTCAATGGAAAAAAGAGCTCGGAGTACTGGCAAGACTAGCATCTGGCAGCTAGTTGTGGTTACAAAATATAGCAGCATCTTTAACAGCATCAAGCTGGAAATCTTACCAGCGTTAATTATCTCAGCTTCTTTGTTGAGGCCATTGTAATTAAAAAAAATTGCTCAGACAGTGTGTATCGCTCTCTGCAGGCGATCGTATGTTCGAGAATTACTGAATTTTCTGAGTTCAGTCTTTGAACTCAGAAATTTCTGGTAGTTAAAACTACTAAATTTAGTTAAAACTACCAGAAATTTTGGCTCGGAAGAAAACAGTAAACACTTTTTTGGTTCGCCCCACAGAAAAATTTCTGAAAGAAAAGGAACTGACTTCTACTTAAGATCTCAAAGTGCCCATTTTTCCGGGAATAAACGTTTACCATTTTCCTCCAAACCAAAATTTCCTGAATGTTTTGGCTCCTCGAGCCTCGGAATTTTTTAGTTCCAGACTTTGCACCAACTGGTCGCGCTTTTGAAATTCAAAATGGTTGCTACGCCAACAAAGGCACAGCCGCTGGGTGAAGTATACACAACATTTACCAAAACGGAACATTCAAACAGTGCGGAGAACTTTCTCCATAGTATTACTGACTCAACATTTACACTACTTTCATTTAACATCGCCTATACAAAGTCTGGCATACAATACGGCAACTTGAATTTTCTATTTTCCAATGAAAAAGATCAATGCTCGTAATCTACAATATATTCTCTTAACTGGTATTCTATGAAAACTACTACAGGAAGCAGGGAGAATTTGCACGTTGAAATCAGTGTTTAATGCAGCTCAACCCTTTAATCAAGAGCTGTGATCAATTTCAAGCTCTCTTCACCATTAAATTCAAGTGCTCAGGTTGTAAAACGAAGGATTTGATCACCTCTGAAAACAAAAGAACTGAGCATAAACAGCAACGAGAAATTCGACGTTCATCTTGCGAGTAGACAGAATAACATGTCTAATCCAATGCTGTACATTAATGTGAATGACGAAGTCCACTCTTTGAGGAAGCCTTTCTTGGTTATTTTTACATCTTCACAACACGTGAACGCAACGTCAAAACAGATTGAAGTTCTCAAAAGAATTTAGC